GACTGAGGTGAGACCCTTGAGCAAGGCACCGAACCCCCAACTGCAAAAATGGCTGCTCACTGCTCCGGGTGTATGTGTGTGTGTGTTCACTACTCACTGCTGTGTGTGTGCACTTGGTTGGGTGAAATGCAGAGCCACACGTCCTTTCCTTTTCTTTCTTCATTTTCAATTTCATTATTTTTAATTATTATTTACACAGAAAACACTACAAAAAAGCAATAAGACACTCAAGGCCATGTCATATTGTGAAGATATTCTCAATACAGCCATACTTTATAAGTTAAGGTGGTTAATGTGATTAAGGTTGTAAATTAAAGATTATTGGAGCATGTTGTACAAGAAAATACTGTTTCAGTTTTTCTTCTTCAGAGTTTTGTTTAATTCAGTGTGTAATCTACCATTTCTTTGTTTACAATGTGTATCTTTGCAATTATTTGTGAAGTTTACTAGCAATTTCTAAGTGAAAATCATTTAAAAGCCATTTTTTTTCAGTGTGTTACAATATCGTTGTATTTACATCAACATACAGTATCTTAGAATTAAATTAGCTGTAATAAACATGTATAATGACTGAGACAAATATGGCCAACTTGTACACTTGTCATCAGTCCATTATGGAGATTCCAATCATCTCTGAATAAAGCTCCTGTCAGCAACAAGCCCCCACCTCCAGGGAACAAAATGGTTGCGTAAAAGGGTCTCATTTGTCCCACACTGTCAACCTTTGAAGCAGGTGATTCATGCGGTGGTGTGACAGCCACTCCCACATGGAACATGAATGCTAGGAGTTTGTGAGTCTGAACAATTCTTTGTGTTTAAGTGTGTCTTCATTCTTTCCTTCATTCTCTCTCTCGCTGTCGTTTTCTGATAGACATGCTTACAGCTGCTAATGTGTTACAGATTATCACACACAGTTCTGTGAAACCACATATGAGCTATTTCCTCTTTCACACGCAAGATACGTGTCAGTGAGCATTTCCACCTCAAATGCATCTGATGCTCCATGACATGTCTATGGGGACATAGACATCATTTTAAAACAAGAAAACCAAAACTTTGCCCAAAGAGCACTTCTTCTAGACTTCTAAGCTTTTTGAGTATGTAGAGGACAGGATTACGTTTTACACTTGCTAAGTTAACAAACTTTAGCTTTTGTACTTTGTGCTATAGTCAACTCAGCAAAATTAGGTTTATTGTACTGTATGTTCTGTTGTAAAAAATTACCATTGGCTCATATTTAGGCTATTAAAGTGACTGATTTGAAACACCACATAGACATCAACTCAACACACAAAAAGAGCTCTGCACAAAAGACTATTGCTAAGCTAATGGCACAATACTTAAAAAATACATAACACACATACATATTGGGTAAATTAATCTAAAAAATACTCAATGAAATATACATATATATCAACATTTCTCCTGCTTTCTCCACCATCATGGATTCAGTTTGACTTGAATTTGGCCAAAACGAGGTATGATGAGATGGCTTATTGAAGGCATGTTGTCGAATAACAAATTTTGAATGAGAAAATGGGCAAAAAAAATCCCACAGACTTACACTGAAGCAGGACACGCCATTTCTGGAGACAAGAACATCACAGAGAATTAGTGATTGGTTCTTTTGACTTAAGTCCTTTTAACACTTGTGGACAATATCTATAATGATAACTATAACTATTCTATGAGAACTAATAACGATAATGACACAGAAGAACAATATCATTGGGATCATTTTAAGGACGTTTTTTCTAGCTGATGAACAATAAAAACACTGACAGATAATCAGAAACCACCTTTAAAGAGCTCAAGCATTTATTGTGGCAGATGGCAAAACGGCAGCGCATGCTTATAATAAGCACAACATTAACGTCTGTTGATGTGGACGCTTATATATAATTATAGTTTCTGCTAGTTATCATTTTGGGTTTGAACAGGCCTTTAGACCAGTAACTACCAAGCAACACACTAGAATATTTTGACTACTTTTTCTTCAGAAAACTGTACAGTGTCATAAACCAACAAACAAAAATCTACATTTTACCCAGTATTTGTGCTATTTTTATATATTTTTTTAGCTTATTAGAGTATTGTGTTGGAAAGTGCTGAGTTCTTCAGAAAATGTAGCCTAATTCTAGTTGCATTAAAGGTTTGAACAAAAACAAAGCTGGTCCTTCACTAATATAAATAACTCCCTGTAAACGCACAGCACTATCAATCCTGTTCTCATTTACAGTCGTGCAAGGGAGGTCAGGTATCTCATTTAATCCTGGGTGTGTCATAGAAACTGTGCCTTTGAGTGGGATACAAAGCCATCGAGGCAGATGGCTGAGGTTGTTACATATTGCAAACAATGACCAACATCTGTCTTTCTGCTGTAACCCATAGTACCTCATAGGAGGCATCCGTGACAAAAGGGAACAACCTTTCCGAATTACAGGAAGATGCTTTTCCAAGCTGCCCTGAAAACAGTTTTATGGCCTTCCTTGTATATATTCAAGTTTTTATAAGAGAGACCGACGACAGATAAGCGCCAAAGGGTGACTTTCACCTGCAACCTATAGCCAGAGGAGAGACACGGCAGTCACCTGGATGTGAGACTACACCTTTCCTGAATGTTCACACAGTTTAGCACTTCCTGTCTGGATGGATTTGCAACTTCCTTCTGCTGAAATGGTAGAAATGCTGTTATTATAAAAGTTTTTTGCATTAATAAGTGTTAGGCTTGCCTGTTAGGACAGCTTTTAAGGGGAGTGTGCTTTGTAAGAGAGAACAAAACATGACTCAAGAATGAGAACTGGTGGCAGGGGAAAGGAGGGGGGGCCCTCACGTTTTTGCTCAGTGTACTGTAGATCCTTCCTATATTTTCCAACTACTATGTGCTTTTTAAGATTATTGTAACAATATGATATGTTAAAGGGATGGAAAAATGCCCTCTTTCCATAAAATTAAATTCAGTGGGGTTCAAAACAATGTCGGACCCCAATGACAGTCCAAAAAATAAAGGTTCCAAAAGAGGGTTTTTGCAGCAATGCCATAGAAGAGACATTTTTGGTTCCTCTAAGAACCTTTCAGTGAACACGTCCTAAAAGAACAACTTTTTAGTGTGAAGATTTAAAAACAAATCTAAATAACCTTTTTTTTCTCTATAAAGAACCTTTTGTAGAATGGAAAGTTTCCGTGCCAATAAATAACCTTTAGTTTTAGGAGTGTATGAACCAAAATAATTTAAACATTCTTCAAAATATCTTCTTTTGTGTTCTGCAGAAGAAAAATAAATGGAAACACCATGAATTTTTATTATAGGTTGAACTATACCCTTAAAAACAGTTTTGATATAATACCTTGGATGCATTTTGTTATTGTCCAGTGACATGAAAAATCAGAGAAGCTTGTCAGTTGTTAGGTAAAACCTTTTTGTTCCCAAACCCTAGCTCGCCAGCTGTTAAACTGTCCTGTAAATACCCTCAGGGGACCATCCATGGAAATTACCGGCAAGTCAACAACCCACAAAAGCTGGAAGCGAATGTAAAACATCCTCAGGCAACCCATCATATCACTTACCTTCCAAGTTCATCACCAATATCATAGAAATCCTCCACTTTTTGTTGCTTGAACACAGCCATTCCTAATGTCCTCATTGATGATGATAATGATTGTGTTTCGGTAAACAGGGGACAGCAGCTCAAATCTGTCTTAAGGTGTCCCTCGAGAAGCACACAAGCTTAGGGAAGTTCTGCAGATCTGTAGGGTGCAGCTCTGTAAGTCACAGACACTCACATCAGCACATGTTCCAGCATGCTGCACTGCATTCCTTCACTTCCAACAAGGTGTAAAAGAGCATGTATCGCATCTTTCTTGTTTGGACGTATAAGGCAATGTGAGAATGTCACAAAATGTACAGTTTTGCTTACTGAAGGTGATGAAAGGTAGGAAGGAACCAGACAAAAAGAGTCTTATGTAGACTAAAATTGACATATCAAGTAATTAGAAGTGATCAAATGAGAATTATCAGGTGAAATTGAGACTGCTGTCTATGTGATTTTGCCAGGGAAAAAGTGCACGTTATGGCAGCATTTGTTCACGACACACTGACTTCACTTACCGTTTCATTGTTATATAAGTAAAGAATATAAATAATATCGTGATGAATATTTACCTTACAGGTGCAGGTAAACACATACTGTACTGATGTTTGTTGTACTCTATAACTAAGCGCAACATAATAACCATGAGAAGCATTCACACCATAACATCTCTTCCTATAGCTATCATTGCTCACAAGTTTTACAAGACACTGAACTACAAGAAAACGTAACTTTGATACTTTAAATTAGTAAGAAAATTGTGGGTCGTCTTACCTTTTCTTTTAAGAGAAAACACTTATTTGACTGTATTCCGCTGAAATATATAGCGCATTCCCGGGTTTGAGCGCGTCTGTCCTGTTGGACTGGAGACTGGAGGAGCGCACGCGCTTATGCTGTCAATCTCGAGCGGTGACGTCAGAGCGGCGATGCTTTTCAGTGAATCATTGAACCGGTTCAAACCATTATTGAACACGTCAGTCATGTCCGATTCGCAAATGAGTTGTTCATTTGTTTCGGTTCCTTTACAGTGATTCGGTCAAACCTATCAACTAATTTGAAGGACTTGATAGCACGCTGTGAATGTTGGGGTCGGGGATATAGATAAAAAAAAAATACTTTATTAACTCTATTATTTATTCTCTATTGCTTTTGTTTGATCCATTATTTATGCACTATTATCGCCATCTGCTGGACATGGTAAGCAACAACAGTTGCATCTGTACGAGACTAAAGAATAAAATAGTCGACAAATAAAATAGGTATTGTATTTTTTTCAACATCTTTTTTTTTACTTAAAAATTACACATACTGGCTGTGGCTGAACAGTATATTTTTGATGCCGTAGGATTTAACATTTTAATATTATACAACCATCACAAAAACAGGAAGGAATTAAGATATGGTTACCCCCCTCTATTGTTTGCAGCCTTACGCTGCATTTCCTGTAAAACATTCTTTTTCATGTAGAAAGACGTTTGTAACTGTTGTATTGTTTATGGAGGAAGCTATTGAGATGTATAAGAACTACACAAACAAACTTGTTTGCAATAGAAATTTATTGGATGATCATGCAGAAGTGTAAAAAAAAAACATCAAATTTGGAGGATTATAATGTCAACAGACAAGTTTCAGAAACACGACAAAGAATTCAATAATTTTGTATACACATAAAGACCTGTGCAACGCATTGGATCATCGAACAACAGCATCAAAGACGGTTTGAAATCAGTTTACTCACTGAAGACACAAGACAACTACTATAGCTCCCATAACATACTTGACAGCTAAATAACATAGAAATACTAAAGATAATCTGAAACAACCAATGTCCTAACAAGTCTGAGACTGCAATATGTAAAAACAGAGAAAACATATGTAAATATGGGCTTAGTTTGACTTAAAATTACATATTTCAAAACGAATAACACGTTTCTTTTTTAAGGGCAGTATGGGTGACCAAATTTACATGCAAAAACATGGTCATTGTGAGAGACCCGCTCTCACAGTAAAACCATAGACTATCAGTTTTACATTTTTGTTCGTCTTGACATTTGCAGTCATACTAGGTGATAAAATGTTTAATATGTGCATCTAATATTATGCTGAAATGGAGTAAAAGATCTATTAACTGCGCTAAATGAAAAGTAGATGTAATTGCACTGATATTTAAAAGGAAGTACACCTTTTCCAAGCATACATATCAGTGTGTAATACATGACTTTGAAATGACAGAAGCAACATTTTACATTGAAAGTTACGAAAAGTGCTAGTAATTCAGATATCCATTCCCTCATTACACAGGCCCTTATGGGTTGTTATTCCATTTTCAATTGTCTGTGAATTTCAGCAACAACATACAACATTAACACTTTCTTGGAACCCTTGACAAAAAAAAAAAAACCCTCAGTTTCCACATTATTATTTTCATTTTGAGCAGCTTCAGGTATCACTGTGGATTTTACACGGTATCATATTTAAAATAGAAGAGAAAAGCTCAGAAACAAAGGAAACACCTGAATTTAAATGTTCCACTTAATAAAAGTACCGAATGTTTAGAAAGAGGGCAGGCCTTGTAAACTTGAATTTGATTCTTACAATAAAATACAAGTACTGATATGATTACTAAGAGTAAGTAAACAAATGAAGTTTTAATAAGTGCGGCTGAAAGAAAAAAGTGTTGGTGTCCAGGATTGTACATCCCAATATGTCCAGCATAATGTAAGTGTATCAGAATTTTGACACTTGTCCAATCCACACCAATCATTACTACCTAAATGCAAAGTACTTTAGTTACTTTAATACTGATTTTGGTCAATGTAAAAATGGATGAAATACTGGACAAGACAATGAAAAAGATGTCTATTTTGATTAATCAAAAGGAATACTGGTCTTTGGTCTCTCAAATTCACAGTTTGTTAAGTGAAATACATTGAAAAGTATAAGACACAATGTGATTGGCTAATCATCTTTGCAGGTCTGGTCCCTTATCGCTGTGGTTCAGCTGTCCTCCTCGTCGTCACTGATGAGTGTGCGGCCCTCCAGGGTGGTGTCTCTCTCCCGCAGGAAGGTCTGACGGATGGCTTCCAGCTCGGTGAGCTCCAGGCGGACCTTCTCCAAGTGGAACGTGCGACGGTTCTGGATCTGCCTCAGTGGGAATGGGTTCATGTCCACAAAGGCCATGCTCATCAACTTCCTGTGCAAAACACAAGATCACATATAAACTAATAACTAAAATATAATACATCAAAATAATAGACAATATTCCTGCAAAAAGGCTCCCAAATGTTTCAAAACATTTTTAAAGAGAAAAAAAAACCCGTAATAAATATGTATAATACTGTATATAATAAAAAACAGATATTAGCTGTGTACTGCATTATTATTATTATTATTAAATCATTTAATTATATTATTAGTAAAGCAGCTGATGTGTGTCAAGTTGTTTCCCAATGCTGACGAATCAAACCACAAACTGAAATAATTGAAAATATTTCAAAAAAGAGAATATAATAAATATGTATAATATAATATAATATTTGTTTATTCATTATTATTATTATTATTAAGTAAAAAAATATTCAATTATAAATAAAGAAATAAATGTAGCCACTATAAATAAGTCAATATAATAATTTTAAAAAGTTTCTAAAAGTGTGTTTCATGATAATTTATTGCTATCCCTTACACCTGAAGCACAAACCTTGCATCCAAGATTGTATGTGTGAAGTACCGAAGGTACTTGAAAATGGTCATGGGATCCTGGAGCTTTAGAAATTCCTCTTCTTTGTATTTGAAGAGTGCAAGAGCAAATCTGAAAATTATCTGCCAAGGTAAAAAGAGACATCATCACACAACTAGACTAATATGACTCATTATGGAAATTAATAATAAGAAAGGTGAGTATTAAAGTATTATCTAAGTGTCTGAGGATTTGCAATGCTCATTTTAGATTTTTCAGTAAATCTTTCAAGTCATCTGTGTTGTGGTTACATAAACTATTACTTGGACAAAAATTCTATGTTGAAGGACCATGTCTACATAATTCTTCATACCTTGGGTCCCTCATAGAGAAAAGCGTCCCAGATCTTGAAGAGGATGTCACTGACAACGCTGTCCACAAACACAACCAGGAACCAGTTGAAGGTGATGAGAGAGGTGTCCACCTTATAATGCTCAAAATGAGCATGAAGCCTGGGTAACTTCTCAAACATCAGGTCCTTCAACACACGCTGATCTACCTATATCAAAAACAAGATAACAGTCAAAAACAAATCAAACAAAGCAAAACAAACAAACACATTTTTTTTTTTGTGATAGAAAATACCAAAACACCATTTCATGGACTTATTTATGGGCCTTATTTATATTTCAGTCTCCATTGGCAGGTCTGGCAAAAAGACTGCTGCAGTCACATGTCAGCAATGAAAAGCCATAACTAGCAGTGTGCCAATAATGTGGTTTCAATTGAAAAGCACTTGGCTAGTTACTCTGCATACGAACATGTAGTTAGTAACCGGAAACTAAGGTAAAACATGACAGTGATCATGTTGCATGAGGCCAAAATGTGGTAAAGTTCGTTCAACAAGCATGTTAATGTCTTGTCGATGGAAAGGAGCTTGAAAACTCTAAGTCATTGTGACAGATGACAGAACAGAAAAGAGATGTGCTGTTAGCCTGCTGCTAGTGAGTCATATCCAGCAAACAAAGACATTCTCAAAGCCCCGTGCTCCAATTGCCTGAGTTTTTGGGGGATTTTTCTTGACTGTGAAAGAGAGAACAATCTTGAGACAGTACCTGTGAACCTAGCAATGTTTTAGTGTAATAGTCACGTGGCATGAAAACCTCAACAATGGCCACAAGACACCAGAAAGCATCTTCTTGGTCCAAATACAGAAGAGCAATAGCTGCCAGCCTGAAACAATCAGAAATCTCTTTCAGATCCATATATTTTAAGGTGTTGATGTCACTTTAGACATGAAGAAACACAAACACCCCACACTAGAGCTGATGGAATCGTTTGGATCTGCTACCTGTTGAGGCCTTGGCAGTAGCCGATATCTGGATTCCTCCAGGAGAAAGCCAGCAGCACATTCCTGAGTTTCTGGATGCCATCCGAGTCAGGAGAGGCATAGTGCTTGTTGTTAGGGAGCGTCCGCAGAAGATCAAGCTCTATCTGCTTGCAGGCTGGGTTTGGTTTTTCGTTCACCATGGACAGAAGGTTCTGATAATAGTCTTTTGGCAGGCCCTCACAAATCTTCTTCACATGGAAGTTCACGCACCAGCTCCACACCTTGGAACGTTGTTTATGGGGAACCCCACTTCGCATCAGTGCCTTAAGCTCTGGAGATCGAACCATCTCTCTGTTCATGGTGATGGCCAGGTAGTTGTCCCACTTCACCCTGACTGAGGTCTCCTGGTCTGTCAGGGAGAGGGACTTCAGGTCTAGCGCTCTCTTTTTGGCTTCAAGTTTTTCCTCCTCATCCTCCTCCTCCGGGACAGTTTTGAAGCCATAAATGTCATACTCACTAAATGACAAAGAAAACAGTATCACTGGGTTATTTGGTTTACAAGCAATTTGTAACAATAGACCCAACAATCTTCAAAGTACAAAGCCAAATTTAATAGTAATAATCAACTCGTTGGCGAGTTGTTAAAACAACGAATTGAAACCAAGCATGGTATGAGAATGGATCCACTCAAGAAGAACATGCCATGTTTTGCAGAGGAAAACATCCTGTTCCTATGACAAGTAGCATTTGAAGAATGCTAACAAGACCAAACATGTTTGAAGATGGGATCTTTAGAAGGGGTGGCTGAACAAAACTGAAAGTAAACAAAAGAAAATTCATATTGAATGGTGAGCTAGTTCTACTCTTCGTTTTGGTAACAGAAAGCTTTAAGAGGCCATATATTCATTACCATGTCAACTTCTATATAACTCATGTTTGCAGCTGAATTTGCATCAATGACCTAACTAGGGAGGAAGCTTTGTTTTTTATTTGGACTGAGTATCTGTACATAAAAAAAGCAAGGAATATACAATTTGATACCTGACAGCGTTGGGTTTGAGAATAGGGTGCTCCTGTTGGTCTGCGCTCTCCACCTGTAGTGCATCTTCTAGTAAGCGGGTGATGACCTCTCCGCTATGGGTCTGCTCTGAGGAGGAGCAAACGGGAGTCTTCACTTCCTGTAGTAGAACCAGGTACTTACTCTCCACCTGACACAGCTTGGCCTCCAAACTGGTGCACTGTAGAACACACAACAAAGGAAGAAAGAACATGTGAAGAACAAAAATGATTCCTCGGCTATCAAAAAAACATGCACAGGCAACCCTGCAAAGGTTGGAATGCTAGGGAAAAGGAAAAGGAAATGCTAACATGGCACATAAGAATGAATCTGCAAACAAAACATCCAGGGTGGTTTGTGTGCAGTGAGTAGCTAAAGTCACAGACCTTTGCCTCTAGCGCTTTTTCTCTGGATTCAGCATTTCTTCTCAAGACCGTCAACTCCAGAATTTCTTTGTTTAAGAAGTTATTTTGGGATTTGTAGCCCTGAAGGCTGTCCTGGAAAAGTGTAAAAAAAGCCAAAAGTTTGTATGTGAGATACAAAACAGTCATGAAGCGTTTATAAATCTAACCTGCAATATACAGAAAACTACTACCTAAAGGATCTGAGAATTTAATTGGTCTTGTGAAAAAAGACTCAAGACTTGAACTCAACATCAAGGACTTCTAACATGCCTTAGTCTTGCATGCAACTCTTGCCTATGTCAGATGTATTTCACCCTAAGCTCTCCCTGAGCACCCACTCACACATTTATATATATTCAGATATAGTGATTAGAAAGTACATATATTAGGATGTTCTTGCGCTACCTTCAGGATGTCCAACTCTTGTTGTTCCCTAGTTGCACTAGGCAAGTTGCATTCAGCCGACTGGGTTTCTTCATTACTACTCTGTTGGGAAAGTTTCATGATGACTTCATCCTTGGCCTGAATGGTCTCCATGAGCATGCCCAGCTGTTCATTTATGTCCCCAACTTTGATCTTCAAACTCTTCAACTCCTGTTGAAGACTCTCCTTCTCCAAAGCTAGCTTCTCCATGTGTCCACAAAGGTCTTTGATCTGGGTGTCCCGCTCTGCCAGGGCTTTGTCCACCTCACTCTCAGCTTGGTCATGACTGTCAGGCCCCATGTTCCCAGGAGACACTGTGGAACGCCAATCACATTGGGAGATACGTAGTGTTTGTTGGAGAAGATGAACCAACTCCTGGTAGAAGGGAATACTGTGTGAAGCTCAAGTCTCTGAGATCAGCAGACCACAGTGACCCATCAATTACTTAGATAACCTACTCAAAAACACCAACTGACCAAGCAAAACTGGGATTGTTTGTGGTCACTGATTAGTCTTTACAGTCCTGAGGTCAAAGTTTGCAGTGGTAGCCAAATCTGCTCCTGACGGCCTAATATCTTACTATCCTGTAGAGTTTAGCTTCAGCCCTAATCGAACACACCCTAACCAACTAATCAATGTGTTCTGAATTACTTAAATAATAGGCAGGTGCAATGGAGCAGAATTGGAACTAAAGTCCACAGAAATGTAGCCCTCCAGAAGCAGGGTTGGTTACCCCTGCACTAGAACCAGTTGCAAAAATGTATACCTCCGAGTCAGCTGGCACTTGTCTTTGCATCAGATTGACTAAATTACTCATTCATTGTTTTTTTTTGTTTTTTTACTTTTGCTTGGCACAATAAATATCAAGGGAACTCAGAACACTTGCTTTGGTAGCACTCTTAACTGGAGTCATAAGAAGTCGGGGGCTTGTCTGGGATGAAGAAATTTGTCTTACATTCTGACCCTAGAATTGTCTAGTATTGTATTACCTAATAAGATCAACATTTTGGAGAAAGGTTTTGATAACCTTCAGCTATCAAATGTCAATTATCTTCATGGACTGGTGAATTATCACCAAACTGATATAACAAAAAAGAAACCTGGAGATCAAATAAAGTTAATCATCATTATGTACAAACATTCAATTTACCTTGCAAAAATACATTTAAACAGTTTCAAAAGTCTGCACATGATGCAACCTGAACTAAGACAAGGAACTGATATGCAGGTACAAAGAAAGACCCATTGCTCAATTTGTTGGCTCTGGATCAAGTTTTAGTTTTCATTTTTGATTTGAGTTTCTTTTCTTAGCCTTTTCTTAGTTTTTTAAGTTAAAGTTTTAGTAGGTTTCTCAGCATGTTTTAATAAAACGCAACAGTATTTTCGGCCATTAAGGAAACAGTCTCATCACACCTAATTTAGTGAGTAACTGAACACATTTTTGGGGAATATGCAAATTGCAAAGAAAACATGTTAATAAAATATTATCAGTAATGTTGTAATCATGAATAAACACACGGTATTGTTTCTATATGTTATACAGAATCATTATCTAGAGCTGTTAATGTGTTAAAAGCACAGCCAGGGGCCAAAGAGGAACTTTAAAGGGAAAAGCACAACAACCGTACCCATTTTGTGGTTCTCAAGGCCCTTGCTTAAGATGTGCTGACACCTATATATAAAAGCACACAGAAATATACGGCTGATGTAAAAAATGGCTTACTGCACCAAAGCTTGAAGGTGGATATAAGAAAAGTCTGTGAATTATAAATGTAGAGGATGTATAGAATAATCAGACACTGTCTGATTATTCACTTGCACATGGGAAATCCCCATGAATAAGTATTACAAGGAATGAGGAACTATTAGCAAACAGCTATGAAATTCCTATAAAAATCTCTGTTTTGAACTGCTGCCTGCCTTTGCAGTAAGACACTACTGTATGTCAGCATGGTACAACATGGGGGGAAAAATGTAACTCGAAATAGAATAATTGCAGACACACATTTAAAGGCTGCCATCCCTCAAGCAAATACTTATGGAACATGTAGAGAATTATGACAGGATTGCAAATTAACATTTTATACTAACACCAGCTTGCTTAAACACACCACAAAAATAAAATATAGTTTATGACCTTCAAGAATGAAACTTAAGTGTCTTGATGGCTTAAAAAAAAAAAAAACTTGGTCCCTACCTAATTTATTCATATCGTACCTTCTGACTGGCGAGCTCTTCTCTGAGCTGGTTCTCTTGCTCCTGCAGGTGACTGATCTCCTCCTGCTGGCTCTGAATGCGGAGCTGCAGTTCGGAGGTCTTGGTCCCGTTACATTCAACCGGCGAGCTCTCTGCACTGCGGTTGGGTTTCCCAGAGCCCATGTGAAAGGGCCGTTTCATTCTCGAGGGGTTGCGGAAGTCAAACGGGAATGCTGAGCCAATGGAGTCTACGGACAGTCAGGAGTGACAAGACAGACACAGTTTCAGAGGCATTCAGTTTAACTGAATCATTTGTGTTTGTCATTAAAATGTCTGAACGATCATCTTACATCGTTGAACGTGAGTTGGGCTTTCCCGGCGCTGGCTGTCAGGTGGAGATTTGTGCTCTGGTGTGTCTTTGTTTGGAGGATCCACCATCTCCCAGTCCTCACTGTTGGCTGTGTAAAACACACTGCGTCTGTTTTCTCCTCCTCGGCTGGCCCGCAGATGAGACATGCTATTTCTGATAGACGGTGGGAGAAACAAAGAAATGCTATCATACAATATAGTACGGAGAAGTCAAATTCATGTGTAACAGTATTAACTTAACCGCAGTATATTGCCAAAGATTTAACTTTCTACTACTGATGTCAGATGTCTATATGAGTTCATTCGAAACTTTGAAATAGTAAAGAAATTTCACTCAAACATGTACTCATATGATGGACGTGTTACATTTGTCTTGCTGTCAGCATGTTCTGTGATTACTGTTTTTTTTTCACCTCTCTCACATTTATACGTCTTCTTTTATTTGCATAAAGGGTCAAAGTATTGCCAGTCTCTTAAAAGCTAACATGGAGCTGCTGTAGAATTTCCAGCTATTTTAGTTTGTTTATCTTTGCTGATATCCAGATTCAGTCCTTTGGCCGGCTTCAGCATTACGTCATCCAAACAGATGCGTCCAAAGTCTTTGGAAAGTTTGAAAAGGCGTTCACACATGGAAACGGTTGGGAAAATTAGTTAAATATTAATAATTCTAAATCAAGATACAGATGTACCTGCAATTTTGCCCATTTATAATTAGACATGCATAAATAAAGAGTATTAAAAGTGACAAATTCTTGTCTCAACCACAATACTCAAAATACTTAACCATACTGACTAGATCAGATTTACAGTACAACATGTCAGTTATCAGACTATAGTTGCATCTGCCAAAATTATTATTATTTTTATTATTTATAGGCTTCAGTCTGATTAAAGGGGTCATATGATGCGATATAATGATCTTTAAAAAAGCATCATATGACCCCTTTAAGCTAATGGTGAAAGCAGATAATTCTATGAATTGTATTATATTAATATAATATATTAATATAATACAATAAAACAATATAATAATGACAATATCTCGAAAGAGCATATTCTTTTCTCTTTAAAAAGTACTTAAGCTGCAACTAGCATTTATTTTGATAATCAATCTGTTGCTTTTTTTATTATTTCATTAATTGTATTAAAAAAATTCCTAAAAAAGAAAAAAAAAAAATCCTAATATTCTACTCCTAATTATGTGCAAATTGAAGGCTAATAAAAACAATCTGTATGCTCTACATTGTGCAAAAAAGGTTTCTAATATTGTTTAATACAAACTATATAGAGATTTTCACATGATCAGACCAAACAACAACAGCTTTTGTCCACAGTATTTATGTGTGTGTACTGTGTATATTTATTATGTACATATAAATACACACACATGCATGTATATATTTAAGAAATATATGGTACGTTTATATATTAAATGTATTTATATGATATCAATTATATGAATATAAATATATACATTTAAATACAGGTAAATATTTTCAAAATATATGCTGTATGTGTGTGTATTTATACATACATAATAAATATACACAATACACACACATATATTATGCAAACAAAAACTTTTATTTTGGATGCGATTAATCGCGATTAATCGTTTGACAGCACTATTATTTACATAATTACAGTTGTTCTTATATAATTTTTGCTTGCTCTACATTTAGGATTTCAATTAAATACAGTTCAATTAAAACCTTTAAAAAAACGATGCTCAATAGCGGTCATCCTAGTGTGAGTCTCCCAGGATCCTACCTGATCTCAGAGCCCCAGTGTCGGAGGGAGTTGAGAGCTGCATTGGGTTGTGCCACAGGGTTACGCGCCGACTGGAGCCCGACCAGCCCATCACTGTCCATCTCCACAGCAAAGTCACTCCGAACACTTTCCATGCTCTCGTTGGGCTTCTCATAGAGCACTGCTTCTAAAACAACACGGTCACAGTTTGAGTTATCAGCATCAACGATTACAGTCTATCACTTTTCTCAGTGTCATTCATCAATCCAAGATGTGTCCTTGTTTCAACGTATTAGTAAATCTGCACTGCAGAGAAACACGTAATTTCATTGTACAAAAGGCCTTTTGTATCCCTCATTAACATATGTACAAATAATTACTTTATTCATAAATAGCCGACTTTTCTAATGGCATCATTAGAACAATATTTTTTTTCATCAACATTTAATATTTCTTGATGGGTGTTTCCAACTAACAGTGGTAACAGGGTTGACAGTTACTTGTATGAATAAATACTGTATGTAGTGTATGTATCCGATTAAAAGAAATTAAAAGATTAAGATTTGTATTTTTCTGTATATTACATTAGATTTACATAATGCATTTTTAAAAAGAAATTAATAAAGGTGTTCCCCAGGTTATGCAACCCTGTTATCATTCAATCTCCCTTATTAAATTAAACTACAATTGCTTGGCCTTGTCAAAATTGCATCATCATCCTTTTAGGAAGTGAACTGTGCAAAGACAAATGTCTTCTCTTTTTTAATATAGTTGTTAATCCATGTGTTTTTGCACTTTTGTCCATAGTGGACAATCTTTAATGATCAACCCTGTTACTGTGATTTTGTACAGTAAAGAATTGATTATAGTAAATCAGACATTTATAGAAACATCAGCAATAAATTCCCTTTCTAATAAACACCTTGTAGTTCCATGCACAAGGTTAGTAATGTCTAAATAAACTCTAAAATGGTCAACCCTGTTATTATTTTGTATATGAATATGCCGTCAGTTCTAAACAAATATGTCAGTGGATTTTGATGTGAGAGGACAAGAGAGAATGGACTTGGAGGAAGGATTGGAGAAAGCGTTGTTATGAATTATGGACTCGTATTTTGGCCAGAAGTGATGTTTAAGCTAAAACCCCTTAATGATACAGTTGTTTATGACAAACATGCAGCTTTTCACTTCACATGATGTTAATTGATTATTTGGACTCTCATTCTGACGGCACTTATTCACTGCAGAGGATCCATTGGCGAGCAAGTGCTATAATACTACATTTCACCAAATCTCTTCTGATGAAGAAACAAACTCATCTACATCTTGGATGACGTGAGGGTGAGTAACTTTTCAGCAAATTTAGATTTTAATTACTCCATTAAAACACCCCACTAAATCAGTCTGTTTATGTGCTGAGCTATAATCTTCATATAATGAAAATATAGTAAGGAAGTATCAGAAACCACTACATAAATTACTCTCCGACTCTGGGTGCAGTAATAATGTTGCTGACTAATATCTAAATTTTTGCAAGCATAAAGCACATTTACAATTTTAAATATAGCTGTACTACCACTAAATGGGACAGGTTAATGTGAGAAGACACTTTACTATAATTTTGCTTTACTGTACTATTGTTATCATTACAAAGGCCAGTAACAACTATGTTAATTAACTGAATTAAATAACTAAAGCATAGAGGCTCACAGGTGCATTTGTTTTATGTTAATAAAAAAAAATGACTCGCTAAGTGACAGTAATAAGGAAGAAGCACACTGGCCTTTTGTTTTGGTTCTGCCTTTTCGACTTCTAAAATAATACTAAATGCTACAGCTATTCACATACAGCAGAAACCACAAAACTGTCTGAGGTTTTGAAGATCCTTCATAGTCCCTCATTAAAAAGGAAAGTGAAATCGAGAAAAAACTTTAACCATTTCTATCATTACTAAGATCTGTTTGTTGGCTGCTTTTACAACAATACACTATCCAACTTACTTAACTACTTATCTATTTACTTATTTCTTTTATATAGTTTTAACTACAATTTTAGTTTAAAATTCATTTCTGGGTACATTTTATGTGTATACAAAACTAATATTCCAAAGACCAAAAAATGTTTTAAGGTTTTCAGAAACATCAGTTTAGTAGAACTACTTAATAGTACATATTCACAGATACAAAATAACCTTCTACGTTATATTTACTCATATGCTTTCTAAAAACAGGAAACTATGTAAAATGGTGACACATGGCTGAGGAATCGTGCGCATTTATGATATTTGACTCAAGCAGCAAACAAACTATAGGTTGACAATACAACAGCATCAAAAATTCCACATACAGTGGGTACGGAAAGTATTCAGACCATGATTTTAGCAAATGGCTGCAATATAACAAAGAGTGAAAACTTTAAGGGGGTCTGAATACTTTCCGTACCCACTGTATGAATAGAGGCCATGACCAACAACTGTTTTTTATCGTTCTTTCTTTCAGTGCATTGAGTGTTTGTCACAGTCTGCTCACTTCTCCATATATCTCACCTGCATCTTTGGCCACCAGGCCTGTATGTGGAAAAAACGGGGTGGGGGAGCACCAGCTGTCTCTGTGGCCAGACATTTTGCAAAAATCCCATCGTTTCTGCTGTAACTGCTGCAGCCAGTAATGCATCACCTGCCTGTTGGGCGCCTGCTCGCAGAAAGAAAAAGAAAAGTAGCGTGAAACCAAGGCTCTATTTTTGCTCTATTGTTTTGTGGTATAACAGCAGTCTAGGGAGGAACAGGGTCAGGTGTGAATGTGACTGTCCCCTTTGAGAATCATCATGCTTGTTTCGTTCTCAGTTCCAGTTTACAGTTCGTGATGAAGTTGCTCTTTAACTGTGAGAAACAAAATATATTTAAAAACAACAGCCAAATTAGCACTAATAAATAGTCAATGACTGTTAAGAAATAAGAAAAATAATGTAAAAATCTAGTTTAAAACACAAGTCCTTAAAGGGGTGGTTGACTGTTTTTTTTCTGGGCTTGATTGTGTTTATGGGGTGCAGTCTAACATGTGTTAATGCTTAGTTAAAAAAAAAAAAGCATTATTTTTCACATAATTTACCTTTATTCCACACCGCTCTGTCCCTTCTCTGAGAAACGCACTGCTCATTTCCTGCTTTTATGAAGCCTCGCCCTCAGAAATAGGTGATGGGCTCTGATTGGTTAGCTAGCCCAGTGTGTTGTGATTGGCTAAACCGTCTCTAG